CCCCCCCCCCCCCCCCCCCCCCCCCCCCCCCCCCCCCCCCCCCGCCCTTGTGCTTTGCCAACACCCCTCACAGCTATTTAAGTCCCACTAGGCATTCAACCATCTTGAGGCAAGCCCTGCAGTCCTAAAGAGGAGAAGCTGACAGCCCATTTAATGGCTCTTTTGTTTCAATCTGAAACCTAACCCTGCAGAGCCTAGACTCATTATGGGAAGGCTTGCAGGCCCCAGTGAGGGCAGGAGCCTGGGAATGTCAAAATGGTGGGCTGCAGGGGAGGGGAAGAAATGCGGGGGATATAGCCAGATACCACAGCCAGTGAAACCCAGACACTCACCCAGCTAGAGGAGGTGGAGAAATATCTTTTGCGGGGAAAAGAAAGGCCACAAATGGTCACCACATAAATGGAAGGAGGCACCCCATTCTCAGCTCAGCCATGACAGCTTTATAGGTCAGCCCTAATACTTGAAACTGGCTTCCTTCCACAGCAGGAAAATCTCAGACGACAGAAGGGCCAAGAGTGTTCAATGAAGGAAAGCTTAAAGGAATGAATCAGCCCCCAAGGCAGAGTGCAATATTCTGGACATACATGCATTTATGCAGCCAGTGCAACACAGACACATGCACGCACACACTGACAGCATTCTGGATCTACCTACAGTAGCAGACTGCAGCAGTTCAAGGCGGCAGCTCACCACCATGCTCTCAAGGTCAACTAGAAACGGGCAATATATAGAGGCCCAGCCAGCGCCACCTCCAGACACAAGTGTGAGCAAGCCCACATGCTTTCTCTGAGCCTCTCTGACCCAGGTGAATTTCAAAACAACCAACTTGCTCCTTTTGATCCAATTTCCACTACTCCATGCTGGCACTATCAGACAGAGCAGCATGATGACTCAGTGGTTAGCACTGCTGCCTCAGCGCCAGAGACCCGAGTTCAATTCCAGCCTCAAGCGACTGTCTGTGTGGAGCCTGCACATTCTCCCCGTGTCTGCGTGGGTTTCCTCCAGGTGTTTTAGTTTCCTCCCACAGTCCAAAGATGTGCAGGTTCGGTGGATTGGCCATGCTAAATTGCCCATAGTGTTCAGGGATGTGCAAACTCAGTTGATTAGCCACAAGCAATGCAAAGTTACAGGGGTGTGGAAGGTGGGTCTGGGTGGGATGCTGTTTGAAGGGTTGGTGTGAATTTGATGGGCCAAATGGCCTGCTTCCACACTGTAGGGATTCTACAATTCTATGACAGATGAGAAACAGGACTAGCATCAGCTTCTCAATCATCTTTTTACTGTTTTATCCTTCCATTTTTAGATGCAGTACAAGAACAGCAGTAGTAAATTACAGGTATACATTGCCAGAACTGCTCTAAGTGTCTGGAGCAGTTAAATAGCCTCATTCTGTTTCAACCTATTCACTGATTCAATGAGCAGGCAAGGTGGCTGAGAATGTAAAAGCTCATATTTGTCGACACTGCAGTATCTCCCTGCATCCATAGCTTTCAGATTTCCAGGCTCTGAATTCAGACATTGCAATCAACACCCACTAAACATGGCTGGAGGGGCAGTGGGGAATGTGTGACAGACTGAGCTGTACATTGACCTCAAAGACTTAAATCATTTAAATTTTCCTCACCCATGCCCTATCCCATCACAATTTGAAAACTGTGAATCAAAACCTGTCATAAAAAGGGAATCAGCTCTCATACGACCAATGACAGCTAGCCCAACTTCACACTGAATTTGCTTGGTGTTGGCTGGACCCAATGTGGGAAACTTTCTTTTTATAAACCAGTACAACTTTTCCAGGCTCTCAAAATATTAAGTCATCAAAGTTGAGAGTTATAGACGCTACATCAGAACAGCTGCAGTAAGATCACCCAAGTATACATCCGCTCAGGAATGTCACATGGGGAATCTAAACTTTCATCTTCTGCATCTCAGTCAACCTAAAATACAACTTGGGCATAAGTCCAAGCTGTTTGTGTGGCTCAATGATAACACTCTTGTCTGGCTCTGAGGTTTGGGGGTTCAAGCCCCACTAGGTTTGGGTCAGCAATTAACTCAGCTTACTCAGTGCACTGAGTGCTACATTGTCATGAGCTCAGGGGCGACTCAGATGGATCTGAACAATCCCCAAGTATTCATTGCTTGGATAAATACAACAACAGCGATTATACAGCTAAAATAGTCATGAAATGCTAGAGTTGTGAAAAGCACTGTGTAAATGCAAGCTATTTGTCTACCCATTCTCATGTACAATCATTTTTCAGATGTTAGGAGTTCATCTTTTCAAGTTCTTCACATTCCTACTAAATTCCCTGTACTGAGTTTAATCGGTGACATAGGCCAACATTTTATCTGTTCACTTTAGACCAGAGCAGCATTGGGCTGAAATTGTTCAGAAGATCAACAACACCACATTTAATCTTTCTCCCACTTCAACACCTTGTGTGCAATCCACAGAGTTTGTGTCACATGATCTTGTGTCAATAAACATCATTTTACAGTTAGCCAAGTTCAACCATGAAAGGTCAGTGACAAACCCACCTTAGCACCAGCATCAAGGACAAAGAGGGGACTCTTTTCTGATCACTCCAGACTGAAATTCAAGCCAAGTCTCAGAAATACAGGAGCAGCATCTCTTTGTTTTAAACCGAGCGTCGTTCCCATCCCCCCCAACTGCAAAAGGTATGAAGGAAATGTGCCCCATGCTTCCAACAATATAGTTATTATGTCACCTGCTAGGAAACAAGAAAGCAGCTCAAGCTCACTAACCTGCAAATGCTTGGTGGTAGGATGTAGAAGCTCCCAGTAGCATAGGAGTGAAATCCTGCACTGTGTCTAAATGGTACAAGCAGCACATTACATCTAAACAGCCTTGGTGCAGGTCACTGCACAGCTTTGAAATAGCCTCTGCGCCAATCTGAAGTGCATTAATGTCACAGCAGTGCTGGTTACTGAACTGCATCCAGATGACTTCGGCAATGGTAGCTACACTTGGAGCCAAATGTTTCTGGCATGGCTTGCTGGAGTCTAAACAAATCAGCAAACTGCCCTTGAATAAAAGGAGCGGCTAGCTATTTCGTTCTCAGGTTACTGACAATACAGTACTGATTTTGAACCGGCTGCAAGGAGCTGGCGGGTAGGAAGGGTGGCTAACTTGCTGCCACCTCTCCCTATCATCCCCCATGGCATTACGGCTGAGATCAGTACTTCCTCTATGGGAAACCAGAGAAACAAAGCTCACTAATACACCAGGAGGAATGTAATGTTAATCTATCCCAAAACAGCCTAATCAACCAGAGAAGAAGAATCTTTTAAACTTGTTCATTTGACGAGGGGACTTACCCTCATGCTTCACTAATGTCCCTAAGTGGGGAGCATCAATGGGGAAGTGTTTGCTCCTCTCTACATTGAGTAGTATATCGACTATCCTTATCCTGCAGTACTCACTATGGGTCATTGGTGAACCTGGGTGATCGGGGCAGTGGGAATCCGTACAGATGACAGTACAACACATCAAAGCAGTAGCAGCACATCTCTGCGGTCACCACCAAGTTCCTCACATTCACTCCACTGGTTCCACTGAGCCCAGTTCCATTCGAACGGTTTCCCACTGTGGTCAGCCCAGTCACAGGACTGAGTGCAGAGTTCAAGGAGTTCAGGTTCCCATTGCTCTCCCGGTTGTTCCTCTCGCAATGGTTCTGGCTGTAGTTGTGGTTCTGGCTGTGGTTGTGGTGATTCCCCAGGGCTGTTCCAGACTGCAGGCCAGGCACCGAGCCACAGCCTAGGCCCGTGCCAGCGTGGTTCAGCTGGTTGTGCACATTGCTGCCCGATAATTTGGGCTTCTTCACTCCGCAGCAGCCCGCTGCTATCTTCTGCTCGAGCGTTGGCTCTACTTGAAGGCACCGCCTCTTTCCCATCCTCCTCTGTAACACAGTGTCAGCACGACAGCCTGACAAGAGAAGGTCCAACAATTAGAAACATGACACTAACAGAGATAACACACTAATTGTTCATTCTCGTGGAACGAACATAAAACAAATGCACAACACGTCAGCTCGGTGACATGGTTATTCAGAAGTAATCACAGGGCATTCACAGAGTAAAAGAGTAAAACTAAGAATAAAACTAAGAATTTCCCCTCACCCTCACTAAAATGCGAATACTTCATACCATAGCAGATCAACTATGACAAATTGCTCAGGAATGCAGTCAGATTCTATCCTTCTGATCTTGGGTTGGTTTTAGAATATATTTTTATAGACTGCAGAAGTTACAGTTCATCTTCAGTGCTGATGGAAACTGTTTGAGTCAATGAACAGAGAACAGTAATCATAGGTAATTTAGTTGAATTAGGTTGGTCAGTTTTATTTAAGTAGATCAAGTACCGATGTCCTAAATGGAGGTCAATGGATCAGTGGTCACACACCCCTTCCAATCCCAATCCCATCAATATCCAGGTGTCCCAGGAAAGCAAATGATCCTGCCAGCAGATTGGATTCCAAGAGAAAAGTAAAGGCTTCCAAAAGAGCCACTTTGCTGAATCCCAGTCAATCCAAAGCCATTAGTCTCAAGCTTGAGCTAACCTCTGGATTTATGATAATAAGTTAGCTTTCCAAATTCTATTGCATAATGTTGACGGTCTATTGGTACCCAGTGAAATCTCACTGGGTGACAAGCCATCCCAACACTTCACTGACATAGCAAATCTACAGGAGACCAATAACAGAACAGTAGATCAATATTAAAAAGACTGAGGGGTGACCTTATAGAAGTTTATAAAATCATGAGGGGCACAGATAGGATGAATAGTCAAGGTCTTTTTCCCAGGGTAAAGGAGTCCAAAACTAGAGGGCATAGGTTTAAGGTGAGAGAGAAAAGATTTAGATGGGACCTAAGGGGCAACTTTTTCACCCAGAGGATGGCGCATGTGTGGAATGCACTGCCAAAGGAATGGTGGAGGCTGGTACAAAAACAACATTTAAAGGCCATTTGGATGGGTATACAAATAGGAAAGGTTCAGAGGGATATAGGCCAAATGGGACTAGATTAATTTAGGATATTTGGTCAGCATGGACGAGTTGGACCAAAGTTCTGTTTCTGTGTTGTACATCTCTATGACATTGACTGATGTGCTACTCCCCTCATGCTAAACACAACCATACCACTCATGTCCGCTCCAACATTGCCAATCCAGTTGCCCATCATCAAGCATTTTGGGGCATTGCAAGCATGTACAATGACCTAAATATCTCACGTGCTAATACTGAACTGTAATGCAGTGCAGAACAAAGAAATGCAATAAAAACCTCTGACTTATTATCTTTGACTACAACCAGCAATTCACCCAATCAGCATCAACCCATTCATACCAGCGCTACCCAACATCACACCAACAATGCTACTCAGTCACAGCACCATTCATCCAAGTCAGAACCATAGCATCCATTATCAGCTACAGCACTGTACACTACACTACCTAGATGCAGCACTGCCACACTGCATCGTTCAAACAGCAGCACTGTGTCCAGCATCATTCAGCCTACCTCATCAGTTTATTTCCAAGTCACATCACTGTCATCCCTTTTTGGAAAGGTTTCGAACAGTCATCAGGTCAACCATAATTAAAAGCATTTCTCCCCAGTTTCATCACAACAGCATCTCTATAATTAAAACCTCTTAGCATTGTGCTTATAATGGCATATAGGCTAAACGTTTCAGGCTAAACTATGAACTGTTTTAAGAAAAAACAAAGGTGAATCTGGTTTCAACACAACCAAATTCTCACAGGCTCAGCAGCTTTCTTCAATAATTTCAGTACTCCATGACAAATGCTAAGCCCCTTATCAGAATATGACAAAAGAAAATGTGACATCAACAACAATAGTAATCCAGAACTCCAGCCTAATATTCTTGGGACATGGTTCAAATCTGACCATGGTACATAGTGAAATCTGAATTCAATTTTTAAAAAATTGGACTAAAGAAAAAGTTAATTTAGTGGTGTCATGTGAACACCGGCAATTATAGTTAATTTTTAAAAAATCAGATTTCCTAATATCTTTTAGGAAAGGAAATCTGCTATCCTTACCTGGTCTGGTTTGTATGCAACTCCAGACTCAGCAGGATGGTTGACTCTTAACTATTCTCTGGGCAATTAGGAGCAGGCAATAAATGCTGGCCTAACCAGCAATGCCGATGTATGAACAAATGAAAGAAGAAAATCTGGTTTTGTATCTTTTTTTCAACATCCATGTTGACACAACAGAACATAAAAGGAGATGCTAATTAATGAAGTTATTAAACTGTTTGATTTGGAATTAATTCCTGCATTACTGGAACAAAGACAAAACATCTGGAAAACAAACGGCCATAATCAAAACAGTGTCAAGCAAGACCTGACCTTAATTAGATTTTAATAAAGAAAGCTTAGTTCTTGACTTCAATACCAGATTATGTAGGAATATACAGCAGACAGTTTTATAAACTTTGAGTCACCAGTCACTTCCTAAATATTAGAAATTAAATTAATGTAAGTACACCAAATGAATCAAGTCAAAATAGAAATCAGACCTGACGTTATAACCTATATGACATACGAACTGAAACTCCCGCAGTGTCATTCAAACAAATCAGTTTATAAATGTTACACCAAGCATCCCTGACCTATCGTGCCATAATTACAGGCCGCATACCAGGTAACAATTCAATGTAATTGCAGACTGCATTGTGGATTATACTGCAGTGTAATTAAAGGCTGAAGTCCAGATTATATTGCAGTGTAATTACGGGCTCTACAGTGGATTACATGGAGGTGTAATTACAAGAATGTGTACGAGATTTTTTTGAGAGGTGTAATTACAGGCCATAAATTATACTGCAGTGTACGAGATTATGTGCAGAGTTTAATACAAGCAATGCATTGGATTAAACTGAGTGTGTATTACAGTCAGTGTACAAGATTATGCAGAGAGTTCATTACAAGCAGTGTACTAGATTATACAGAAGGCTCATTACAAGCAATGTGCTGGATTATACCAAAGGCTCATTGCAGATAGTGTACCAGTTTATACAAAGCCGCCATTATAAGCAGTGTCGGATTATATGGAGTGGTCACCATTGGCTGTGTACCAAGTTATACTGCATTATACAAATGTGTAATTCGACTGTATATCAAATTATACACAGATATAATTAAAAGACTATACATCAGTTTACGCTGTAGTACAATTGTAGGACGTACACTAAAGATACGGAGGTGTAACTACAGAAATGTAGCAGACAATACCAAGGTGTATTAACAGGTAATATCTTTAGTTAATTTCTATTAAATTTATTTTGTCTAATAAAGAGAAATGGCAAGGCATTTCAGTCTTGTGAAATGCTTATCATGTACCATGTTGGAACTCCAGGATGTTTCTCAATGGCTGAACAACCAAACATGCAGGAAATGTCACCAATTTAAGGATCTGGGGTTCCAGGTTTCAGATCAGTTGAATTTCATTGCACTGCATCAATGAGGCTGAGATATGCAGGGATATCACATTGCTATGGAGGTGGCCACTCCACATCTTATGTATGTCCAGGCAGAGGGTGATTATTCAGCCACCAGCAGACGAGGAGGACTAGGTAAGTAATGTAAGGATCTCCTAAGTGCATCCTGCTCTCCATCCTGTAATCAACTCTGGGCACTAATAGGAGTGAAAGTTCCTCTGGGGAGAGTGCCAGGTTCACAGCAAGTTCAACTGTACAAGGGAGCAACAGGAAGCTTGAGAAAGAAAGTAATTGGGTGTTTAATACTTTGGGGAGCTGACAGGCTTTTCTGCACCTGCAAACATGATCACAAGAAGGTACGTTGCAGAGTACGTTGGGTGTGTGAGCAGCCAAGGTTGCAATTCATATTGGTAACGACGTCTTAGGTATCAAACTTTAGCAACCTAGAAAAGAATCTAGCAGGTGTCTCAAAAGCAATAACATCTGGATTTACACTTGGTGCCACCTAAAATGAGGACAGAAATAGAAGGATACATTAGTTGAATGTATGGGGGGGTGGGGAAATGTGGCGCAAGGAAGGGACTTTAGATTTCTGGGACATTGGGACTGGCTCTGGGGTAATAAAGATCTATACAGGACAAAATAATTCAGCAGAATGGGATCAAAATCATGGTGGCACAGTTTGTTAATGCTGTGAGGAGAGTTTAAACTAAGAGGATGGGAGCCAAGATGTAGTATAAAAGAAAGGAGAGACGAAGCACACCAGGTTTGGGAAACAGATAGCACCAGACTAAGAAAGGAAGGTAATAAGTGGGCTCAGAAGGACAGGGAATGCAATGAAATCTAATTTATTTTTACAGCGCTTGTATGCAAACGCATGCAGAATCAATGCGAACTGCAGGTATAGTTTGCCACACGGGAATACGATGTCTGCAACATCATGCAGACGTGACTCTGAGCAGAAATGGGTGGTAAATATTCCCATATACAAGATGCTGTAGAAAAGAAATGAAGGATGAGGAGGAGAATATTATAGATAATATACAAATACAAAGATATACAAAGTGCCTTAAAGGTGGCAAGGACGTAAAGACACAGCAGAGGTACCATTAAACTATGCTGTATATTCTATGAACTACCAACCTATTTTTCCTAATCAACCTGTTCAGAGATGTTGTTACACACCTCTGGAGCAGGTGGGGACTTGAATTCGGACCTCCCGGTCCAGGAACAAGCACACTACCACTGCACCACCAGAGTGAGCGACCAAACAGTGAAAAAGATAGAAGAACAAAATTGTAAAAATATAGACAGTTGCAAAAACCATTGACATACCCTTGGGAAAAACTGTAGCTATTGGATAATGATCTAATATTAACTGGAGTGCAAAGGGGCAGAGAGGAAAAAAAGTTTCTAAAATGTGTTCAAGAGAAGTTTCTACTTCAGTAGGTTCCTCAG